CTAGGTCATCCCCAGTAGCCAGTACCAGGTCGAGCAGCGCTTTGCCTCTCGTTGGCCCATAGACTTCTTGAGTCAGGTAGAGGTCATCCACACACGAGAGGAAGCTCTGCGACCGCTCAGATTTTGCTGAGCGATCCTCCCATGAGATGTCCGGGTAATTGAAGTCACCCATGACAACCATGGTCCTGGAGCATGCAGCCTCAGCCAGTTCCCGGGCAAACTCCTGGTCAAGCTCAGGACTTTGGGTGGGAGGTCTGTAGTAGACTCCCACCATTGTGTCCCGGAAAGGCTATCTACAGGAAAGGCTTCTTTTTCTGGCGCTATGGCTTTGCTCATAAACAGCTGGAAGAGACTGTGATTGACTCATAGATTCATAGATTGTAAGGCCAGAACGGGCCTCGGAGGATCATCAGGTCCAGCCCCATGCACCAAGCAGGAAAGACAACTGGGGGTCAGGTGACCCCAGCAAGGTGACTTTCTAATCTCCTCTTGAAGATTTCCAGGGTAGGTGATTGCACCACCTCTGGAGGGAGCTTATTCCAGTCTGGACACCTTGATCGTGAAGAAGTTTTTCCTAATGTTGTGCCTGAAACCGTCTTCCAGGAGTTTGTGGCCGTTACTCCTGGTTTTTACTTCGGGTGCCCTGGTGAACAGTTGCTCACTGAGCCCTTGATGTACTCCCCTAGTGTAGCGGTAAGCTGCTACCACATCCCCTCTCAGCCTTCATTTCCTCAGGCTGAAGAGTCCCAGGTCCCTCAGCCTTTCCTTGTATGGATTGCCTTTTAAGACTCTGATCATACAGGTGGCTCTTCTTTGGAGTCTCTCAAGCATAACCACATCCTTGTTAAAGTGTGGTGCCCAGAACTAGATGCAGTACTCCAGCTGTGGTTTCATACCTTGTTGAAACAAAGGCCAGTGAATAGGAGACAAGGGGGTCCAGGTACGTTCCAACTGTAGTGGTGGCCAATGCTCCAGCGACTTCCATGGTAGGAAGACTGAGTGAGTATCAGACTTGACCAAAAGTAATATTTCCCCTTACTATCAAAACTCTCCTAGGTCTGATTTTTACCTGGGCACTGATCATTTATGTTCATGATAATTTATTATTATATTAATACATTCCAGAATTTAGATGGTAAAGTATTTTTGCCTCTTCTGCAGAACTGTGTTGGGTCAGCTAATGCTATTACTCTAGAAATACGAGTCAGCTCATTTTGATCCACAAATAATTCACTCTTCCCTCAATATTATTTACACTTCCCTAAACACGACTTTCACTTCTCTTGACTGTTTCACACTTCCTTAAGCCAATGGCAGTTGGGCTGTGGGGGAGGGTACAGTACCTGAAACCTGACTGGGTGTCAAAGTTGGGCACATAAATACCTGATTTATGCACCTACACAGGATTTTGGCTGCTTGGGTCAAACTCTTAAAAGGCATTGGAGAGGTTGGCTTTTCAGAAATGCCCAAGTGCCCAAATCAATGGGAGGCATTTAGGCATCCTGGCACTTTGAAAATTGCACTCAGTGCCCAGCTGTATCTCCAGGCACCTAAATACTTTTGAAAATCTGGCCCCTAAATCCTAATTCAAATATTAGGTTTCAGGTGCCAAACTTAAGTCACCAGCACCCCAGTCTGACTATTGGCTCCTAGGCATTGCATTGCTTAGGAAGATCCTTTTTTTAATGCTGCAAAATTTGGACAAATTGATATTGTAAAATGAAGTCCATTCGCCCAGGGTGCATCAATGTTGTGTCCTGCTACATCTGCACTGGGGAATTTGCTTAACATTTGCCCTTGAGCATTGAAGTTTACCAATATCACAGAATGTGTGATGTATATAAAGAAGAAAGGTGGTTTAAATAAATCCAGAATGCTTCACCCCAATGGATGAAAGGCCTGCTCTTTCTGTGTACATGTACCTGTATCCATGATGGACAGTGTCTTTATAATGCAGTCACTTAGCTGTTCCATCCTGAATTCCACATTACTAAAAAACACATAAAATCCAGCTGAAAGGCAATGGGAGTTTGTAAACACACCTTTCTGGCACCAGGTCTGTGAATAATAACCTCTTCCAGCATGCCATCAGCAACCTGGCCCCATCCTGGTGACTGGGTAGTCACTATTCAGTTTTGACTGGATACAATGACTAGATTTCACATGTTTCATGACCCCTGGCTTTGGGAATTGACTGCTCCCAGTTTGGAGATTTCTCAGGTTATGTTTTCCAAAACTCTTTGTGGGCAGCAAAACCCGCCCAACACCCAGAAGCAGTACCATGACCTTCCAAAGTCCGCAAGGTCTTGGACTGAAGTTCCATAAACTGGTTTGACTGCAATCATTTAAGTCTCATACTACGTTCAGCCAGATTTATCTCAAACTGGTTTCAGCCAGTTTTGGAAATTGGTTTATGTGCAGTGAACTTCTGGTGCAGTCACTGTTTTCAGCCAATTTTGAAGTTGGTTTATGTGCACTGCACTTCTGTTCTGTTACAGGTTTAAACCAGTTTCTGATCACTTAAACTGGTTTGTATGTAACTTCTGTCACTAGCCCAAGTGCCTAGACACATTCCCCATAGAATGCACTGTCTGTGGGAGCTCCTAAAAGCTGCAAACCATGGGCAACTGGTGCCTCCTGATACTGCTCTTAAAAACAATATAAGAAAATGGGTTTTCATTGATGAGGCATTTCCAAAATCT